ATAGTAAGTACTCCATATTTTTTTTCTTTCTTTTAAAGAATTTGTTTATTCTATGACTTCTGTCTTACATGTAAATTATAAAATCAGCTTACTAATTTCTTTCAAAAATTCTATTAGGATTTTGATTGGGATTCTTTTGAATTCATAGATCAATTAGAGGAAAATTTTCACCTTAATAAAATTGGATCTTTCAATCCACAAGCATTGCAATAATTTAGCTGTTGATTTCCTTTCACTATTTTTAGTGTATCAGTCATGCACATTTTATTAAATTTACTTTTAAATATTCATTTTAAATGGTATTTTATCTATAAAATGTAATTTTCCACTGTTCATTGATAGAAAATACACAGTTGAATGTTGAATATTGACCTTGTATCCTTCAATTGTGTAAATTCACTTGTTCATTTAACTAACTTTTTATAGTCCTTAACATTTTCTACATAGATATGTAGATAATCAAGTCATCTTCAAATAAAGAACTTTATTCTTTCCAATCTTAATGCCTTTTATTTTTTGTTTTTGTCCTATTGCAATGGCTGTTGTATCCAGAAGACTGCTGTAGAGAAGTAGTGAGAATTGACATCCTTACTTGATGCCTAATATTAAATCTAAAACACTGAGACTGTCACTGTAAAGTATGATGCTAGCAATAGTGTTTTTTCCCCCTAAATGCCCTTAATCAGGTTAAGGAAGTCCCTTTCTATTCCTAGTTTATTGAGAGATTTTTATCCTGAATAGTTCTTATATTTTATCAAATGCTTTTTCTGGAATGATTGAAATATTTTACATTTTCTGTAATTTGTTGATGGTCAGTAATGTTTATTAGCAAATATAAAACCAACTGTGCACAGCTAAGATTAACCTCACTCAGTAATGATATATTATTTTTATCTATGTTGTTGGGTTTCATTTGCTAATATTTTAAACGAGTTTTTGTGTTTATTTTCATTAGAATGTTGGTCTTTAGTCCTATTTCCTTATGATGTCTGCATGTGGTTATGGCGTCATGGTATGTATAGCCTCATAAAATAAAATGAGATGTGTTTCTTTCTCTTCTATTTTCAGGTTTGTATTAGATTGAATATATATATATATATATATATATATATATATATATATATATATATATAGTCTGTGAGAGATACACTTTATTTTTAAGTTCCAAGTCACTTTTCAACACTGCTCTTTTATTCAATGCTATATGAGTAGCTTTTGGGTTAAAGATAATTATTTATGTTTTTAATTCACTATTTTTTTTAACAATACTCTTTTCAGATTGGTTGAGTCCCAAGAATCAATATTAATTCTAAATATTTTTAAAAATTCTTTTTCTATGACAGTTGACATTCAAAATTATTTTATAGTAGTTTCAGGTGTACAACATCATGTAATTAGACAATTATGTAATTTACAAAGCAATAACTCCCCAAAAATCAAGTTAACCCATTCATTGTTTAGTAGCATGTTATTCAGGTTTCATGTGTTTGTGTGCTTTTCTGTTGTTATTTATTTTTCTTGTAATTGAATTCTAGTTTTATTCCATTGTGGTCAGAGTAGATGCTTGATATAATTTCAAACTTTTTAAATGCATTGAGACTTACTTTGTGTGCTAATATGTTGGCTATTAGAAAATATGACTTTATTTCCTGGAATCTCTTCAGGCCTGAAAGGTTTCTATTGAGAAAATGCTGGCAATCTTATGGGAACTCCCTTTTAGATAACTGTCTCTCGTTACCTTTAAGATTCTCTCTGTGGCATCCCTTTAAGTTACTGATTAGATACTTTCCTGCACTCAAAACTGCCAATCCTCTTTCCCAGGCCTTTAGTACTTCCTGTTTGTCTACTGATATTGAGTGGTAATGTCCTTTCTATCACATGTAATCACTCAGCCTATGTAAATTCTGTGCTTTTCTTAAAGCAGATGTGTCTCATGGGGTTTAGTTTGCTAGCTTTCTTATGGCTTCTAGAAATGTAATCGAAGAAACATTTCATGTTTGTATCTTTTCCTGCTTAAATTTTGTTTTAGATCACTTCAAAGGATTTAGTACTGTGTCTTAATGTACAATATAAAATTTTAAGTATTTCAGTGAAATTACTTTCATATAAGTTTTCTATAGCAAAGAAACAATTTTTTCACGTATCTATAGGTACAGGAATTTATATGCATCTAATGAGTGATATAAAGCATTACATGTAAGTTTAATAAAATATTTTTTCATTAAAAAAAATTCTCTCATTGTTTCTGGCTTTTGCCATTTAAATGACGAGGTATGTTGGTGTGGGCCTATTTGACTTTATCTTGTTTGGAAGTCTCTGTGCTTCCTGGACTGGCATATCTATTTACTTCACCAGGTTAGGAGAGTTTTCAGTCATTAAATTTTCAAACAGGCTGTCAATCTCTTACTCTCTCTTTTCTCCTTCTGGTACCTCTATTATGCAGAGGTTGTTATGCTTCATGCTGCCCAGAAGTCCTTTAAACTATCCTCACTTTTTTTGTTGTTGTTAATCCTCACCTGAGGATATTTTTTTCATTAATTTTTTTAGAGAAAGATTTGTTGGAGAGCTAGAGATAGAGATAGAAATAGAGATATATAGATAAAGAGAGAGAGATAAAGAGGGAGAGGGAGAGAGAGAAACATATATGTGAAACAGACACATCAATAGGTTGCCTCTCAAAAGTGGCCCCCACAGGGACTGGATATTGAACCTACAACCCTTCTATTTATGGGCCAACACTCTAACCACTGAGGAAAACCATCCATTGGTCCTCACTTTTAAAGATACTTTTTTCTCTTTGCTGCTCTGATTGGGTGTTTTCTGTTTGCTACTCTGAAAGGTGGGCAGGTCTTACATGAGCTTGTTCATACAGCTCCTCCCCTTACTTTCTCTTTCCTCCTTTCCCTCAATATCCTCGCTCAGCATTGCCTTCAAAGTAAGAGAAGGGAGCAGGACTCAGATTCTCCAGGTAAAGGAATATTGGCGTTCTGGTGTGCATGTTGTGGGAAGAGTCAGGGAAATGTGGGATTTGGTGCAGAGGGGACCTCTCTCCTGGATTTATTTCTGAAACCTCCGGCAAACTTCTCAGCATAGATTTCTCATTGCTTTCTGTTTCCTGCCTCTGTTGATTTTAGGCTGTAATCTGTTTTAAATGCTGAGCACTAAAAATTAGTTCCTCTTTCAGGGGGTTGCTTCTCAGAGGATGTTTGTAAAAATAATTCATTTAACTATTTTTAGAATTTATAAATAAACTAGAAGCTTTTAGGAATGGAGTTGGGTGAGCAGGCAGAATTAGCTCTGAGGGCAGCTTGTGGGTGAAGAGAACTGGGAAGCATAAGAAGCACAGCTTAGCATGCTAGCCCTCTGAGTACCCATCACAACATCAATTTTGTGAACAAAGCTTATTTGTAAACATTCTGTGATTTCTCTTCCCAGTTTATAAGAGGCTGTTTTCTACTCCCTATCTTTAAGGAATAAATACATACCTCTTTTTCCAAAAGGAGTGTCTGTCTTTCTAACAGTGTTTCAAGTTTATACTTGCTGTCTTCCTATATGAGATGAGCCTGTCAGCCTATTCCAGTCAAAGTCCACTCTAATATGACGTCTATACACAGCTTTCTCTATTGCCAAACGTTTATAGGTAACAAGGAGACAAAATATTTAAAATGCAATATGATGTTTATATTATACTAAGCATTGATGAATTAAAAAAAGCATAATCTGCCGAGACCGGTTTGGCTCAGTGGATAGAGCGTCGGCCTGCGGACTGAAGGGTCCCAGGTTCGATTCCGGTCAAGGGCATGTACCTGGGTTGCGGGCACATCCCCAGTAGGAGATGTGCAGGAGGCGGCTGATCGATGTTTCTCTCTCATCGATGTTTCTAACTCTATATCTCTCTCCCTTCTTCTCTGTAAAAAATCAATAAAATATATTTTTAAAAAAAGCATAATCTTTTTCACAGATATAGACTGAACAAAAAAGATTGACAGAAAGCAAGAGTCAGAGGAATATTTTATAAATTTATTTATTTATCAAATATTTATGAAGAACTACTCTTTGTTGACTGTTATGCTTGTCCCCAGGTAATAAGGGGAATACAAGACACAGATGGTCCTGCCATCATCACAAAGCTTACACCAAAAAGGGCAGCATAACAGGAGCAAACAACATCCCATAGTGATATGTGTTCTACAGGAACCACTGGGAATGTGATTGTAGCAAATAGCAAGTGGGCCCCAGCACAGCTGTATTGTTTGTGGTGATGCTGTTGGGGGGAAAGGTATTGGAGAGAAAAAAAAAAAGGGATTAGTTTAAAAGGCATCTGATCATAGAAGAAAACAGGATTGATGATGAGATAATAGGTTAGGAGTCCGTTACATGGCAAACAAATAATACTGGCTTGGATGAAGATGAATAATTTTGCATGTTCTGGAGGTAGAATCTATGGGACTTGGTGGTGGACTTATGAGCAAGTGAGGAAATGTAACTGACCCCAAGATCCTGCTGCAGCCACTGGCTGAATGGTGATGAAATCTACTGAAATGGGGGCAGAAAAATTTATGTGATCTGGAGACAGGACAGGTGGGAGGTTGGAGAGGTGAAGGGTTACATTTTGTCCAAATTCTGTGTGAGATGCCTGTGAACTTGCCCAGTGGACAAGTTAAATGGGATATAAACGTTCAGAATTCTGAGGAGGGTCTAAGCTACAGAGTATGTACAAATCGAATTCAAAGTAATAATTACTGAGTAGCAGGGGAAGAAGGTCCAGAACCAGAGCTAGGAAGCACTTTAAACATGTTTGTGTAGAGAAAAAGCAACAAGTGAAAATGAAACTGACATTGGGGAGTTGAGGAGAAGTGTTGGAAACCAGGGAAGGTGACATCAAGTACCAAGTTTACGGAAAAGAAGAAACTATTTGGTTGCATGTGGTTTGGGTTTTCAGTTACTCTCCATTTCCCTAAAATGAGTTATGTTTCTTATCTACAGGAATTCAAACTCCAATGACAGCTCAATTGCACAGTACCCCTTTCAAATTCAGTGAACCCCGGACCAGCCATGGTGAGAGATTGCTCAGGTTCCCCAGGCAGGTGGGATGGAGGGAACCTGGCAGTGGGTTCTCCTGTGCTCTCTGCCAGTCCCCATCTGAGCAAGAACAAAGTATTTCCAACACCATTTCTTAATTTATTTTTATTTATTCTGCTCTTTCTTTTCTCTCCACCCTCTGCACTGTCTCCTCATGACACAGCATAACCTCTAAGAAGAAGAGAGGTTAAAATATCTTGATTGATCCCAGGCTGATAAGGTTTCTTACATCCTACTTCCTACAATGTAGACACAACAGAAGGGCCCATTGTAGCCTCTGGTTGTTTTTCTTCCCCTCCATCAGCCTTAGAGAGGACTGGGAAGAAGAATATGAGAGGGATTGATTCTTCATTCAGTTCTCTAAATTCCCTGCTCCTAGTGGCCTCACTGAAACTCACAAATTAACCAGACTTGTTCACTTAGTTTCTCACTTAACCCTGCTTTATATATAGAAATTGACTATATCAGTTGAACTATATCAGTTTTGCAAACCACACCACAATTTAGCAGCCTAAAACATCACCCATTCCTATGGCTTTCAACTTTATAGTTTTATATTTCACTGGCCAGTTCTTGGTTCTGGGCCAACTGGGTTTACCTCAGACAGACTTGTTCATGAACCGGTGGTAAGCTGGCAGTTCAGTACACAACTGGATAGCCTTTTTTTTTCTTTTTACAATTAAATTTATTGGGGTAACATTGGTTAATATTATATGTTTCAAGTATGTAGTTCTAGAATATGTCATATGTATATCGAATTGTACACTCACCACCCAAAGCCTTCTGTCCTTCCTGCACCACATATTTGGCACTCTTTATCATCTGAACAAACTTCCCCCACCCCTCTTTCCCTCTAGTAACAACAATACTATTGCCTATGCCTATGCATTTGTTTGTTTGTTTTTTTTGTTTTTTGTTTTTTAAATATATTTTATTGATTTTTTGCAGAGAGGAAGGAGAGGGATAGAGAGTTAGAAACATCGATGAGAGAGAAACATCGATCAGCTGCCTCCTGAACACCCCCTACTGGGGATGTGCCTGCAACTAAGGTACATGCCCTTGACCGGAATCAAACCTGGGACCCTTGAGTCCGCAGGCTGATGCTCTATCCACTGAGCTAAACCGGTCAGGGCTGTTTGTTTGTTTTATTAGTTTGCTTGTGGCTTGCTATGTTATGTCCCATGTATGAATGAAATCATGTGAATCTAGTTGTTTTTTCATCTGACTTATTTCACTTAACATGATATTCTCAAGATCCTGAAACTGGATAATTTTGCATTGGATATCCCCATGGTCATTTCTGGTAGTTAGTAGGCTGTTGGGCAGGCCAGGGTGATGAATAACCGGACCTTGTGTCCCACATCATCAAGTAGGCTAGTCTAGGCTCCCTCATAAAGCAGTTGCAGGGTTTTGAAACCAAAGGAGACAGCAATCCACAGCGCATCAGCACTTTTGGAATCTACTTGCATCATGCTTCTCCTGCCCTATTGTCCAGAGCAAGTCAGAGCCCTCCCCTACCCCCATGCAAGGGGTGGAGAAACAGATTCAGCAACTTGTGGGAGGGGCTTCAGATCGACATCCCCAAAAGGCATGTGCACAGAGATTGGAATAATTCATGGCCATATCTACAATGCATCACACTGATTGTCATATGCTCTTGGTGCCTTTTGGTTTCACCTCCTATGAGTTTCCTACTTTTCCTTGGATGACCAGCTAATGCCCTCAGGATATCCTTAGGTTGGAGTCTTCCACTGTTGTGCTAACTAAATAATAATCTGAACTGCCATCCACATTTTCCATTAATCTTAGCTATCCTGTAGCCAGTGTTCTCAAGTTCTAGAAATTTACTTATCTCATCCCAGAATTCTGGTTATCAAATGTTGGAAAATGTCTTAAGGATGGTTTTGATAATTCCTGATTTAGCAAGAGCTTCATCATAAAGTGTGTGGGAGATGAGGAATAACTACCAATTTTGTGGAAGCCAGAGTGGGGAGGGGGGTTGCAAATTCTCTCCTCTGTTTGGTTGATATTTTAAAAATCATTCCAATTTATAGACTAGACAGAAGAGGGCACAATGGAAATATAGAGACCAGTTAGGGGACTGCTGAGTCATGGTTGGTGATGGTAGCTTGGGCTAGTATGATACTCTTCAAAATGGAGAGAAGCAGTCAAATTTGTGGATGGAGCCTGGAGATCTTCCAATTGCTTGGATATGGAAAATAAGGGGAAGAGAGGAATCAACAGATATTCCCAGATTTTTGGTCTGAGGTACTTGGTGAATGGTGATGATATCTCTGAAAAATAATATGGAGTTTCTAATCATGTCTGCAATATTGGCAGGGCTGGATGTAATACAGGATTCCTCCTGCAGGAATCGGTCTTTTTCAAGGGCTGTGCCAACAGGGACTTTCTTCAGGGAGAAAAAGACTCTCAGATGTGGTTGTCAGTTGTTTTCCATGGTCCCCAGTCTGTGCTCAACAAATCCTGAGGACTTCAACTTTACAGACACATTAAAGAGATGAGCAGAGGGAGGAGAAGAAAATGGCGGAGGTATAGTCGGACGTGTCCCGTGCCTTGTCCAGGAGCAGATAAGGGTGAGCAGCTGAAATGGGTAACATACAGCCCTAATAAGCAGAAGATATTCAGCTGGCAGAGAGTTTGGAGCCGGGAAAGACAGAGAACTCCCAGAAAAAGGGAATGGTTGGAGATTGCGGCTGAAATGTCTCCCGGAGCGCCGGTTCAGTCGTGGAGAATGCACCATCTTGAGTAGCTGTTATTGCAAGCGAATTAAGCCAAAAACCCTGCATCCACGGCATCCAGAGACCAGCTACTAACTCGGAAACAACAGAACCCAAGCAGCGCGACTACGTGAACTTAGAGGAACCCTGCTTCCCCCCATGGAATGATCCAAGCAACAGCAGCATCCTGATCACCACAATCTCTGTCTGAGGAACAGCAGCTGTGTGTGAAGCCTCCCCCAACCAGCCAGAAGAGCCACCACAGCTGTGAACAGCACCCACCAGAGGAGCTGCTGCCAACTGAGGAGCAGCAGCAACCACAACTGCCCGAGGAGCAACCGCAGCCTGAGCAGCCACTGCCACCCAGGGAGCAGCCACTGAACAACTCAACATCTATATATGTTGGTGAGATCAAACATGGGTAGACAAAGAAACCTCCAAAGGAAAGAAAAGGAGGACTGGCCAGAAAAGCAGCTAAGTGATGCAGAGGCATGCAACATGACAGAAAAAGAATTCTGATTAAGGGTCCTAGAGTGCATAAACCAGATGGAGGAAAAAATCAACAACTAATGCAAGAAGCAAGAAGAAACAAATGAAAAAATCAATAAATTATGTAAGAACCAAGAAGAAATGAAGAGTGATATAGCTGCAATAAAAAACACCATTGAAAGTTTCAACAGTAGACTAGGAGAAGTGGAGGACCGAATTAGTGAATTAGAAGACAGGGAAACAAAACACACCCAAACTGAACAGCAATTGGAGAAAAAAATTAAAAGACAGGAGGAGAGCCTAAGGGAGCTATGGGAAAAAATGAAATGAAACAACATACGAATAATAGAGGTGCCAGAACAACAGAAAGAGGAACAAGGGTTAGAAAACCTATTTGAAGAAATAATGTCAGAAAACTTCCCAGAGATGGGAAAGAAAAAAGTCACACAAGCAGAGCAAGTCCCAAAGAAGGTGAACCCGAAAAGACCGACACCAAGACACATCATAATTACCATGGCAAATGTTCAGGACAAAGAGAGAATCTTACAGGCTGCAAGAGAGAGACAGAAGTTACATACAAGGGATCTCCCATTAGATTATCAAATGATTTCTCAAAAGAAACACATCAGGCCAGAAAAGAATGGACAGAAATTTACAAAGTGATGCAAAGCAAAAGACTGAATCCAAGAATACTCTATCCAGCAAGGCTATCATTCAAAATTGAAGGGGAAATAAGAAGCTTCACAGACAAAAAAAGGCTAAGGGAGTTTATCACTACCAAGCCAGCAATGCAAGAAATGCTAAAGGGACTGGTGTAAAAGGAATAAATGAAAAGCTCAGAAAGAAAACAGCCACACAAAAAAAGAAATGGCTACAAACAAGTACCTTTCAATAATAACTTTAAACATAAATGAACTAAATGCTCCAACCAAAAGACATCGAGTGGCTGAATGGATAAAAAAACATGACCCATACATTTGCTGTCTACAAGAGACCCACCTCAGAATAAGGGACTCACACAGACTGAAAGTGAAGGGATGGAAAAATATCTTTCAGGTAAATGGAAATGAAAAGAAAGCTGGGGTAGCAATACTTATATTGGACAAAATAGACCTCAAAGTGAAGGCCATAACAAGATATAAGGAAGGCCACTTTATAATAATAAATGGATCAATACAACAAGAAGATATAACCCTGATAAACATATATGCACCCAATGCAGGAGCACCCAAATACATAAAAAAACTCCTGGAAGATATCAAAGGAGAGATTGACAACAATACAATCATAGTAGGGGACTTTAATACACCACTGACATCACTGGATACATCCTCTAGACAAACAAACAGCAAAGAAACAGCAATCCTAAATGACTCACTAGATCAGATGGACTTAATTGACATCTTCAGAACACTTCACCCCAAAGCCACGGAGTATACATTCCACTCAGGTGCTCATGGGACATATTCAAAAATAGACCACATATGGGTCATAAACAAAGTCTTCCCAAATTCAAGAAGATTGAAATCATACCAAGCATCTTCTCAGACCACAAGGCCATAATATTAGACATAAACTACAATAAAAACAACCCAAAATACTCGAACACTTGAAAGCTGAATAGCATGTTATTAAATATTGATTGGGTTACCAATGAGATCAAAGAAGAAATTAAAAACATCCTGGTAACTAATGACAATGAAAGCACAACAATCCAAAACCTATGGGACACAATGAAAGCAATCCTGAGAGGGAAGTTTATAGCTATACAGGCCTATCTCAAAAAACAAGAAAAAATGGTAGTAAATCATCTAACTCTACAACTCAAAGAATTAGAAAGAGAGCAACAAGAAAAGCCCAGAGTGAGCGGAAGGAAGGAGATAATAAAGATTAGAGCAGAAATAAATGACATAGAGACCAAAAAAACAATACAGAAAATCAATGAAACCAAGAGCTGGTTCTTTGAAAGGATAAACAAGATTGACAAACCTCTAGCCAGGCTCACCAAGAAGCAAAGAGAGAGGACCCAAAAAAACAAAATCAGAACTGATAGAGGCAAAATAAAAACAGACCCTACAGAAATACAAATGATTGGTAAACAATACTATGGACAACTGTACTCCAACAAATTAGACAACCTGGGGGAAACGGACATATTCCTAGAAAAATACAACATTTCAAAACTCAATCGGGAAGAATCTAAAAATCTCAATAGTCTAATAACTATGGAAGAAATTGAAGCAGTCATCAAAAAGCTTCCAGCAAACAAAAGCCCAGGACCAGATGGTTTCACAGGGGAGTTTTACCTAACATTCAAGGAAGAACTTAAAACTACTCTCCTCGGACTATTACAGAAAATCCCAGAGGAAGGAAAACTTCCAAGCTCATTCTATGAAGCCAGCATCACCCTAATACCAAAACCAGGTAAAGACAACACAACGAAAGAGAATTACTGGCCAATATCCCTCATGAACATAGATGCCAAAATCCTCAACAAAATCTTAGAAAATTAGATCCAGCAGTACATCAGAAAGATCATACACCATGACCAAGTAGGATTTATCCCAGGAATGCAAGGATGGTACAATATCCGAAAATCAATAAACATTATACATCACATAAACAAATTGAAAGAAAAAAACCACATAGTCATATCAATTGATCCAGAAAAAGCTTTTGACAAAATCCAACACCCATTTTTGACAAAAACTCTCAGCAAGGTGGGAATAGAAGATCATACCTCAACATAATGAAAACCATATTCTGACAAACCCACAGCCAACATCATACTCAATGGACAAAACTAAAACCATTTCCCCTAAGAACAGGAAGAAGATGGGGATGCCCACTCTCACCACTCCTGTTCGATATAGTACTGGAAGTATTGGCCATTGCAATTAGACAAGAAGAAGAAACAAAAGGCATCCAAATTGGAAAAGAAGAAGTAAAACTGTCCTTATTTGCAGACGACATGATATTATATAAAATCCCTAAAGACTCCATCAAAAACTATTAGACTTAATAAATGAATTCGGCAATGTAGCAGGATACAAAATTAATTCCAAGAAATCTATGGCATTTCTATACACCAATAGTGAACTTACAGATAGAGAGACCAAAAAAAAAAAAAAAAAAAACAATCCCATTTACCATCGCACCAAAAAAAATTAAGATACCTAGGAATAAACTTAACTAAGGAGGTAAAAGACCTCTACTCAGAAAACTACAGGACGTTGAAAAAAGAGATAGAGGAAGACATAAACAGATGGAAGAACATACCATGTTCTTGGATTGGTAGAATCAACATCATTAAAATGTCCATACTACCCAAAGCAATCTATAAATTCAATGCACTTTCCATTAAAATACCATCGGCATATTTCACAGGCCTAGAACGAACTCTCCAAAAATTCATCTGGAATAAAAAAAGACCCCGAATAGCTGCAGCGATCCTGAGAAAGAACAATGTAGGTGGGATCTCAATACCAGATATCAAGCTGTATTACAAAGCCACTGTTCTCAAAATTGCCTGGTACTGGCACAATAACAGACATATAGATCAATGGAATAGAATAGAGAGCCCATAAATCAACCCGAACCAATATGCTCAATTAATATTTGACAAAGGAGGCAAGAACATTCAATGAGTCAAGATAATTTCTTCAATAAATGGTGTTGGGAAAATGGGACAGATACATGCAAAAAAAATTAAACTAGACCACCAACTTACACCATACACAAAAATAAACTCAAAATGGATAAAGGACTTAAATGTAAGATGGGAAACCATAAAAATACTAGAGGAACCCAAAGGCAACAAAATCTCAGACATATGCCAAAGCAATTTCTGCACTGGTACAGCTCCTAGGGCATTGGAAACTAAAGAGAAAATGAACAAATGGGACTTTTAACAAACAACTGGGACTTTTAACATACAACTTAACAAAAGGAAGATAAACAATCCAATCAAAAAACTGGGCAAAGGATCTAAATAAACACCTTTGAAAAGAGGACATTCAGAAAGCCAAGAGACATATGAAAACTTGCTCAAAGTCACTAATCATCCAAGAGATGCAAATCAAAACATCAATGAGGTTCCATCTCACACCTGTCAGAATGGCTATCATCATCAAATTGACAAATGACAAGTGCTGGAGAGGATGTGGAGAAAAAGGAACACTCGTGCACTGCTGGTGGGAATGCAGACTGGTGCAGCCACTATAGAAGACAGTATGGAGTTTCCTCAAAAAACTAAAAATGCAACTCCCATTGACCCTGTGATCTCACTTCTAGGAATATATCCCAAGAAACCAGAAACACCAATCAGAAAGGATATGTGCACCCATATGTTCATTGCAGCACAATTCACAATGGCTAAGATCTGTAAACAGCCTAAGTGCCCATCAGTAGATGAATGGATTAGAAAACTGTGGTACACGATGGAATACTATGCTGCTGTAAAAAAAGAAGGAACTCTTACCATTTGCAATGGCATGGATGGAACTGGAGAGCATTATGCTAAGTGAAATAAGCCAGTCAATGAAGGAAAAACACCACATGGTCTCACTCACTCATGGATAATAAAGACCATTATAAACTTATGAACAAAAATAGATACAGAGGCAAAGCGGCCTCAAACACACTGTCAAACTACAGCGGAAAAGCTGGAGAGGGTTGAGGGGCAGGAGGGGGGGCGGGTAAGAGATCAACCGAAGGACTTGTATGCATGCATATAAGCATAACCTATGGACTTAAGACACTGGGGTTTAGGGGAGGCCGGGGGATTGTTAAGGGCGGGGAAAAAAAAGGAGACATATGTAATACTCTTTGTAATACCTTAAGCAATAAAACAATAAAAAAAAAAGAAATTATTCTTAGAGACCAAAAAAAAAAAAAATAGATGAGCAGAGACTATCTGAATAGAAGTAGGGAAAGAGCTATGTAGATGATTTGGTTTTTAAGTTAAGACATAGTTATTTTGAAAACAACTTTCACTTGATAAGCTACATATACTGTTCTGTTATCAATTTTAAGTGTTCTAAGAAGTATATATGCCTAACCAAGTGACACTAGAAAATATAACTCTATGAATGCTACCCTGTATGAGTTATTATTATTATTATTATTATTATTATTATTATTATTATTATTGATGTATCAGGGGCTTTATAGTAACTTTAGAGCACTGTCAAATCTTTCTGGCTATAAGTCTTCAACACATTAATTAAAAATAGAAAAAACTTTACTACATTTCTACACTAAGGTGGTAACTTTGAAAGTAAGGTTTTTGTTCTCCTGTGGTTCAGAATCCCTGAGGAGATGGCTGCATATGTGAAATATGAAGGAACACGTTGCCTTTCTGCACATGTGCCCTTTTCTCTCTTTCAAGGGTGGGATGGCTTGAATATAACCCACCTACCTGTCTTCTTAATGGGAAGAAGCAAGGTTCCATTTTGGATATAAATTGGGTTCTTCCCCTATGATGTCCCAAAATCAGATTTTGTATTACTTCCTACATTAGCTTATGAGGAACAGCTACCAGCAGCGGCTCAGAGTTCTCACTTGTGTGCCTTCATCCATGGGCACTTAGCTTCCCAATGTCAGAGAAAGCAGCCCAAGAGATTCCTGAGGAGTGCCCAGCATTCCTCTAGTTCTATAAGAGTGAGTTGAGGCCCAAGGGTTCTACAGACCTTCTGTGAGTTTTCAAAGGACTGGACTCTAGCAGTCAATAGAGAAGAGCACAAATTGGCACAGGCCCTCCAGGGGAAAATGTTGGAGCTAAGTCCTAACACTGTGCCTTTTGTTTCTGGATGTTCCAGGGCTTGGAAACCAAGACCCCAGAGATTCACAACTGAGACTTGTCTTAGTGGGTAAGACTGGAGCAGGCAAAAGTGCCACAGGGAACAGTATCCTTGGAAAGAAAGTGTTTAATTCAAGGCCTGCAGCAAAATCTATCACCAAGGTCTGTCAGAAAGGTAACAGCACATGCAATGGGGGAGAAATTGTCGCTGTAGACACACCTGGCATTTTCGACACTGAGGTACGGGATGCTGACATGCAAAGGGAGATTGCTAATTGCATCCTCCTGACTTCCCCTGGCCCTCATGCTGTGCTCCTGGTGGTCCTGCTGGGCCAGTACACAAAGGAAGAACAAAAGGCCATGGAGAAGATTCTGTCAATATTTGAACCCAAAGCCAAGAGATACATGATTCTCTTATTCACCCGGAAAGATGACCTGGATGGCATGGAGTTCCATGATTACTTAAAGGAAGCACCAGAAGCCTTTCAAGATCTGATGGAGCAGTTCAAGGATCATCACTGTGAATTCAACAATAAAGCAACAGGGGCTGAGCAGGAGGCTCAGAGGGCACAGCTGATGGACCTGGTCCAGCGCATAGTGATGGAGAACCAGGGAAGATGCTACACTAATAAGATTTACCAAAGGGCCGAAGTTGAGATTCAGAAACAGATTCAAGTGATACAAGAAAAATGCAGAGCTGAGCTGGAGAGAGAAAAAAGGCAGTTAAGAGAGGAGTATGAAGAGAAAATCAGAAAGCTGGAGGATAAATGGGAGCAGGAAAAGACAAAGGCAGAAATGGAGTGGGAATTGGCAAAAAGGGAGACCTACTCTGTTTTAAGGCAACAAAATGCCAGAGAAGAAGTTAAGAATCAGAAAGGGATAATCTTGAGAAGATTGAGAGAAATTTGGAGAGACATCTCATCTCTTTTCAAGGAAGATTAGGCTAATAAAAATATGTCTATTATTCCTGAGTATTTTGGGATGCCCTTCCACCATAAAACTCATTCCCCCAGTCAGAGCTCTGTTTCTGTCTCCCAGGCTCTCAGAACTAGCGAGTGTAATACTAGTAAGTTTATTGTTGGCAATTGGTAGACTTTTGCTTGATTTAACAGGGGAGAGACACAGTCTCAATTTATAAAACTCCAAAGCAGAAAGTATGAATGTTCCCTGTCTTCTGAACCCTTTCCCAAACACTCAGAGAAAAGGAGTGCAGGAAACCAATAGATGTTTACCCCAAGCTTTTTCTATATATTTCTAGTAACAATTTCTACTCTAGATTATTTCTAGATTAACACATAATCTCTGCCTGGCTTTTACTCCTTATTTTCCCTTAAGTATGACAATGGTCATTTTACCCATGTGGTTACGAAAATCAATTACTTGCATTACATAAATATATCTAGAGATGCTTATAGAATTCTTTCTATAGGAACACACATTTGTTGAATTATGTTTTTATGAAATTTTTCTTTATCATCTACCCACTGAAGAACAAAAAGTTGTCTGGAAAACAGATCTCTCAGAATGCAACTAATTAAAATGCCAGAAAGAGCAAAGGATAGAGATTCAACAGCTGAGAGAACAATGATTGGAATATTCAGATGTTTCTGTAAAAATTCTTTGACCAACCTCAACGTAAGCACTTTGGTGAATAACTAATTCATTACTTCTTTGAAACTAACTGTTGTCACCAAACCTCCGTCACCCCAACCTTGATTACTTACTGCTAGGTGGATCATCAGCATACTGCTGTCTCTACCCACATGAATCATTTGCTTATTGTTATAACAATAAAACTTTTCTATTCTCTCATATTTGTGCAAAACTGGACTCTCTTTTACCGTAGGAAACACCACTAATCCTATCTAATAATAGACAAACATGATAATTGACCATACCTTCACTACGCTTCCCATTGGCTAATCAGGGCGATATGCAAGTTAACTGCCAACAAAGATGGCGGTTAATTGGCATATATGGGCACAATGCTGGGAGGCAAAAGGGGAAGGACAGAAGAAGCCGCCTGCCACTGACAGTGATCCGAAACCCAGGCGGCAGGCAAAAGCCAGATGGGCCGCCTTTGCCCTGCCCCCCGGCCTGATTGGGGAATCGGGCTGCCTTTGCCCTGCCCCCCAGCCATGATCAGAGAACCGGGCCACCTTTGCCCGCTCCTCTGCCGTGATAGGAGAAGCAGTGCAGAGCAGGGAAGAGGTGGTGCCAGTGGCCGCCTCTTCCCTGCCCCCCCCCCCACCAGTGATCAGTGATCGGAGAAGCTGGGCAGGGCAGGGAAGAGGCAGCCCTGACCCCTATGTAGATCATGAGCACCTTTCAAACTGTGCAGGTAAAACCCGTGAGACTGGGTCCTGGCTGCTACGTGCCGCCATGTAGATCGAGAACACCTTTCAAACTGCAAACCCCATGAGACCGGGTCCTGGCCTCTATGTGCTGCCACATAGATCTTGGGCGACCAGCAGCCGCTGCTTCCCTGCCCCCACCCCCCGCCCCCGCCATTGATCGGAGAAGTACCTGTATTTTTTTTTTCAAAGTACCTGTATTTTTAATCATTTCTTGACATGGTAAAAGAATTTTACATTATGATCCAAGGGTGGTGGGGTGAGGAGAAGGAGCAGTAGAACAATCCAACAAACAAAAAGGGAAACAGAAATGCATGGTGGAAGGGATTTAAAGGGTGGGTGGGGGCATTGCCCAACTAAAATGTAATTGGTTTGTTACTGAGTACTATTCATGGGGAGACAGCATCCTGACTCCTTCTCTTTACAGCATATTGGGAGTAAATATGATGCATTCAGGTGGAAATATGATTAGGAGTTGGAAGACAGACAGAGAAAGAAGTCAGAAATAGGCACTGAGAGAGTTACTGGCTGGCTGCAAATACTGACTCTCCAGTAGTGATAGAATAAAAAAGTGGGGGATATCTCTGGAAGATTCAAGAGATAGGGGGCAACTCTTCCATGGTTTTGACTTGCCCAGCAGATTTCCACATACACACGTGTACATGCCTATGTTTGCATACACACACATGTACACATAACTGACTGCCCTCCCTGGAAGCACAGAAGAAGAAGCAGCCAGAAGAAGAAGCTGCCCACCTTTGGTCCAGGCGCCAGCGCCTGCGGCTGGCTGCAGCCCAGGAGATGGACAAGCCACCCGCCCGAGGTCCCAGGCTGCAGCCACCCAGAGAAGCTGCCAGCCTTGTGGTCCAGGGCGCCAGCGCCTGTGGCCAGAGAAATAGGTTCCTTCTTCTCCTACTGCAGTCATTACTTCAATATTCCCCTTCTGAATTTCTCTCCTGTGCTGCAACCCAACTCCACTTTTCATTGGAAGGATACGGAACGGAGAGAGCAGTGTTAAAAGCTTACATTTTTAAGCTGGTAAGGTTGCTACTTAAACATATAAATGGAAAACTAGAGTCCTTAAGGTCACAAAGGCTACAAAGGACAGGAACAGTGCATGACCTATTATATCCAGCAATCCATATGGGGACTGAAAACTTTGCAATGATGACAATTAGTGAAGATATGAATCAACTAAAATAGTTGACAGGGACAATTCTTCCATCTTTGAAAATATCTACATCAAATCTGTTTAAATAGATTTTCATCTGCCTAATATAACACATTCTGACAAGACCACACCACCACCAATGTGGTCAGTGTTGTGCCGATAAATGTTTAATAACTGAGGGGACCCCCCCCCCCGAGTGCACAAATTTTTGTGCACCGGGCTACTAGTACATCTTATAAAAGCACAGGGATAAATTTCACATTTTAGTAAAATTTTACCATTATTTTGGAGCTAGGCTATGTGTTCTGCTAAGATCTTTCTCCTTTCCTCTATAATTTTCAACCATGTTCTTAACCCCTATGCCCAGCAAATACCACAATGTTCTTGGATTCATTCATTATCTGCTGGTAGAAATTATGTGTAACCAACATTTGTGAGATATTTGTGGTTTCCTGAGAGGGGAACTCCTAAAGGATATGGATAACAATCATTGAAGTCCATCCTTTTTCTACTGGGCATTCCTACCCTAATAAGTTATAGGATTTCCCAAAACACATTTCCATGTTCTACCAAGATGTCTTGGTGTTCATATGCTACTCTCCTGCCTCCACCATGTTGAAATTGGTATTTCCATGCCCTACACCGTTTTGCCTGCAGCAGGACATATACCTCTCCCTTACTTCCCCCAAACACAAATGAGTTTAGCCTAAATTGTAATAAAAGTTAGAAAAACCTGAAGAATAAGAGAAAAGGAAAGAAGCTAATGAATCTTTCAGAAATAGGTGCTCATAAATACAGGTTTGGCTAACGGCAGAATATGGTGCACACTGTCTATTGTTTCATCATTGGAGTTTCAGAGAAAATTATGAAGTTGGAATTTAACATCCTATTGAATCTAAAGCTTCTAGAAGCAAATCTTTAACCAAAGAGCCACATATATATTGCAAGGAAAAGTAAATACAGGTTTAATATGAAAACAGACTTTAACTGCTCTGTGATTACTTTTTCTGTATAAATGCATTCAATTATCCTTACCCTTGTATTCAAATTAATGCTGTAGATGAGGCAAAGTAAAAGGTTCTGCTTTTGAGAAGCTGTGAAGAGATGAGAATCCCATGCACAAAACCCTGAGAGCAGTGTGGCCCATTTGCCTCCTGGGGCAGAAGGCAGATAGGTTTTAATAAATACCATGTATTGTGATTAATACAATAGAAGAGTGAGGCATGTTCCCTTCCCTGAGGAGTGTTGGGAGTTTATACTATTCATCTAGTCATTAACAGTCAGTGATTGTTTGAACTTGATGCAAGATTTTATATCAGACACTGAGAATGTAGGGAAAGTAAAGCAACATCCCTTTAGAGACTGACTTCCTTCACTTAGCATAATGATTTTGAGAATTATTCAAGTTGCTTAGGTCAATAGCTCTTCTCTTTTACTGAATAGTATTCTACCTTATAGATATACCACAGTTTCTTTATAACTTCTACTTTATTTATTCTTATGCCCCCAATTTATTGCTTTAATCTAATTGTATTGGCTAAAACCTCTAGTATAATGTTTAATAGTAGTAAATGGGCATACTTGCTTTGTCCCTCGTTATGCCTTCAGTGTTTTCAGTTAAGTAAGTTAGATACTGGACAACAGGAGTATATGGTATGTGTGTGTGTGTGTGTGTGTGTGTGTGTGTGTGTGTCTGTTTGTGTGTGTGTAATCATATTAAGAAAGTATTTCACAATCCTATCACTATTTTCTTGAGAGTTTTTATCATGAACAGTAATTAATTTTGCAACAGGCTTTAAAAAATCATCTATGTGAATGATCTTATTATTTCTCCTTAACTCTATTAATAAGTGAATGATATTCATTGATTTCCAAATATTGAAGCAGTTTTCCTTTTTTGTTTTGAGTTTCACTTGATCATGATGTATGACATTCTTCATGTAGTTTTGAGGTCTATTTGCTAATATTTCATTTAGTACTTTTTTATTGATATTCATGAAAAATATCGGTCTATATATTATTTTTCCTACTGACACTGTCAAGGTTAGATTATTAACATTATATTTGCTTTGAAAAGTTCATAAGAAAATTTATCTTCATTTTCCATGCTGTGAGACAATTTAAAGAACATTGAACTATCTGGACATTGAAGGTTCTAAAGTATTTCCATGCAAAACAGTATGCCCCTGGTGCTTACTTTGCAGTGTGGCTCATTAAGAGCTTTCTCTAATTCCTCCATAATTATTGTTTTATTTAAACATTATCTCTCTAAAGGAGACAATTTTGGTAATCTGTATTTCCTTAGGAAATTATCTGCTTCCTCCAGATTTCCAAATTTATTTGAAAAGATTTTTTTTTAATTTCTTCTATTTCAATGGTTAGTTCCTCTTTTCATTGTGAATATTTTATTTTTGCCC